CGCTGCTCCCCCCCCGCGCGGGGTTTATTTGGCGAAGATTTGGGGCCCCACGCAAAACGCCACCGTTCGCCTGCTTTTAATTTTGTTGTGTTTTGTTTTTGGTTTTGTTTTTCCTTCCAAGGGTTGTTTTCCTACTGTAATGTGGGTTTTGTTTTGGTTTGGTTTTTTCGTTTTTTATTTCCTCCATCTACCTCGGCCGCACTCACAGTATTCACGGTTTCAGTTTGACATCTGGTCAGATGCTTTACAGCCCCCCCCCGCTCATATTTAAAGCCCCCCCGCTCCGAGTGCCCCCCCTGGCAGCCCCCCCCGGGCTTCTCCCCCCACTGACCCCCCAGGCGCCTCCCTTGGAATATGGCACACACGGTTTTCTCCCTCCCGATTGCGCCTTTTTTGTTGTTTTGGGGTTTTTTTGTTTGGTTTTTTCTCTTTTGCCTTGGGTTTTTTTGCTTTGGTTTCATTTTTTTTGGGTGTCTGAAGAAAGTTCTGCGTCTTCACCCGCTCCTTGAATCCATTTAGCACACGTGAGATCCCAGGAAAAGACACTGAATCCTTCTGGGGTTGTGTGTAAAGGGGGATTAGCAAATCCTGGACTTTTTTTTTTCTTTTAAAAAAAATAAAAATAAAGTGAAATAAACTCTAGAGGCAGAGGATTTGCTTTTGCACAGAAGAGGGGCGCGAGCGCTCTCTGCTGCCTAGAGAGATGCCGGAAAACTACTGAAAATAGCTTGGGAACTTGTGGTTTTTTTTTTCTTTTGGTGAAACTTGGATAACACTTCTCAATGCAGAACGATTCCTCTGACGTATGTCGAGTCACCCGCCTTTTATATTTTATATATATGCCTAAATATATATATTTATAAAAGAGAGGGGGGAAGAAGAGCAAGGCACCCGAAGGCGCATTTTGAAGTGACTGCACGTATAATCGCAAATGCTGCTTTTTATTGCTATGGCACAAGAACATCCATTTGGAAAAGGTGGAAAATTTCAGAAGTCTCCTTTCTCCTGCCGGTCTTTTAGCCCTCTCCTCGTCTGCACTAAAACCATCCGTATCACTGCCGTCTCCCCACTCCTCCCTCTCTTGCTCCCTGCATCCAAACCATTACGATTAAAAAAAACAAAACAAAAATAGTTACCTGCTGGTTTATTTGGGTTGTGTCTTAACTATTTATCACGGCTGTATATATTTGTGGGTGAAGATTGTGAGCCTGGTTCTGTTTGAAGCTGGTGGTGAGTGTTTCAGAAATACGCTTTGGGAAATCCGCTTTTTGTGGTGGTTTCCTTGCCCTAAAACTAAAAAAGAAACAAACTTGAGGCTGCCATGGTCATTCCCATTGCACTGAATGTTCTGCTTTGTCTCTGATGGTTTCACCTGCAGTTTGGTTTTGGGTTTTTTTTTGTTGTTGGTTTTTTTCCACTTCAATGATTTGCAATGATTTTGAAAAGCTCCAGATTTAAAGAAGAAAATGGAAAAAAAAAAAGCAGCAAAGCCCTGGCGAAAGCATCTCCTGTCAATGCTGTAACTTGCAAGGAACTGCTTGGCCGAAGCCTCTCTGCGAGCGTGGAAGGGGGCGTCCAGCACTTCCCCGGGTGCTCCTGTGCGATGGTTACGGGGTGGGAACACGATCTTCTCTAGCGAGGTTTTTGTCGTCGTTACCAGATGGTTGCACATTGTTTTGTTTTGTTTTGTTTTTGACTAAATGGATTTGCCACAATGAAATGTCATAACATTTATGACATGATATTAAAGTGTATTGTAAAGCCAAGTTCTAGATGGATTTTTAAAAAGAAGTCTTGGTTATAAACCCAGTCTAAAGGGAGCTCTGTCCAGTGTTGTAAAGACAACATGATGTAACCCATATTTATATTTTTATAAAATACCTATTAAGACTGTGAATCTCCTGTGTGAATCGCTGGGTGAGTTGTTTAAGCAAAGTGTTGTTCCTTTCCAGCCTCCTGGAGCTTTAGACACGCTGAGATTTTGGGAAACTGTACGTCGGGGAAGGGGGTTTGCTCTGAAATTGTGAGTTGATGTATTTTTACATCCCTTTGTATTTTACTGAAAAGCTGCTGCCCTTCCTAGTCCCTCGAGTTTCAATTTTCTATGCAACCCCCGCACCCCCCCGTCTCTCTTGATCCTGAGAAGTAAAAGGGATGCAGATTGATTCAAATTGAAATGAGGGTCCCCCCACCCCCCTTGTTGGCTCATCGTGCTGCTGACCCTTCACGCCAAAACGGGGAGTACAGGAAAAAAAAAATTAAAATGAAAAAAGAGGCAGGTGGGGGAGGCTCCTTCGTGCATGACTGGTCGCCTTCCGGCAGTCGTCTTTTTAATTATTATTATTATTTTTGTAAGAAGAATATATTGATAATGTCAGTGAAATAAGCAGACATTGAAGCTGATGCACAGATTGCTCCAGAAAGGAGTTTTTCTGTAGATTTTTCTTTAGATGCGAATACCTTTTTTAATTATGTTAATTAATGTTAAGAATTTTTAGGCTTATATTGAAGCTGTATGTGGGTCACTATATGATCATTTCTAACTGGATAAAGTCTGTACAGTACAGCATATTCCTGAGTGTATGATATAGACCTGTAGCCCCAGAGTGCAAAATTTATAAATAAATTTTTCATTGATCTTTTTATAAAAAAAAAAAAACGGCTTTTTCATTTGTTCTTTCCCAGGTGGTTGTGGGCAAAGCAGGGGATCCTGTGGTGGGGGGTGGCTGCCTGGGCCCCTGGGTCCCTGCTTCGGTGTCTGAACCTGCAGCTCCTCTGGGCTCAGATGCAGCCCCAGAGGGTGATGGTTGGGGTGGATCGGGGGGGGGGAACGCCTGTGCCGACCCCTTCCTGCTGCTCCCATGGGGTGGAGGAAGCCCCTGGGGTTTGGGCTGAGGGGTACCCCAGTTTGCACCATCCCAGCATTCGGAGGCGATGGGTCAGACCAAACCCTGGTGCTGGACCAGGCACGCAGCGTTTGGGATGTTCCTAAAGCAGCTGCTTGGAGTGAGGTGGGAGCTCTGCAGCCGCTCCCAGGACCGTCCCCGGTGACTGTGGCAATGGGGTGCGTGGTTTGGGTCTGCAGCCCCAGCCTCGCATCTCAGCACCCCATGGCTCCCTGCAAACCTTCCCAGGGTTTTTTATCCCAACCCAGGCCCCAGCAAGGGTTTGAGGTGGCCAGGTTGGTCCCCACCAAGCCCTTGGGCCATGAGGACAGGATCACCTCTGGCCAGGTGCTGCTCTCAGACCAGTGGTGACTTTCAGCCAAGGTGGAGGTTGGCACAGGGTCTCCATCCCCAAAGGCATCTCCACCCCCTCACGTGGCTCAGGGCAGGCCAGTGCCTAAAAGCAGGCTGAGCCCAGCACCTTTGGAGGCTTTCCAGGCAGGATCTGGCCACCCCGGGAAAGGGAAGAGCAGAAGCAGCCCCGTGCCTGCGCTGGCTGGGCCCTGCCCACAGCTGGAGCTGGGAGGCAGGGTGCAGGCAAGCCTCCCTCACCGCCGACCGTGTGGGTCTTTGGATAAGGCTTTTTCCCTATCGATAATTTTGCCAGCTCTGGAAATGCCTAAATCTCTGGGAAATTTGTGCTATGCCCAGTTTGGCTCCAGGGTGTGGGTTCCCAGGGATGCTGGGAGCGGTGTCCTGCAAATGGCAGTGGGGAGGAAACCCAGAGAAAAGGCTTGGTGTGACCTTCCCAGGTTGGCCAACCTCCATGCTGATGTGCTGTCCAGTGCCAGCGTGGCATGGTGCCCGGGATGGAAACAGCCGCCTGCCCCGGGGTGCCCTGGGGACGTACAGCCTGCACAGGCAGTGGCCCAGCCTGGAAAAGACAGGCACCGAGAAACTCGGCTGGTCCTTTAGCAGGAAAAAAAAGATGACGCCAAAACCATCAGTCCCAAATGCTGGTGGTCCTGTGGGTTCAACACCCAGGGTCTCGGAGCCGCCGCTGACCATGGCCAAATCTGGGGTGGGGCAGGGGAGGTGGGCATCGCTCCCCTTTCCTGCCATGGTATGATTTTGTCCTACCTGGGCACTGCGCAACACCGACCTGCTGGTGATTGCCACCAAACCCCCCAACCTCGCAGTGCTCCCCAGGACAGGGGCACTAGGAGGTACACTCGGGGGCACAGCTCACCCCTACCTGTCTCCAGGCCTTGGGATGCTGCAAAAAACTCATCCAGGTGCCCGCTCTGGCGTGCCACGGGGCTGGGCTCAGCCTGGTGTGGCTCAGCCCTGCGGCTTCTCACCGCTCACCTTGTCCCAGGGTTTCAGCTGGCCCTGCCTGGCCAGCCACGGCCTCAAGGATGGGTTTTCCTGCAGAAACGCAGCATTTCTGCAGAAAGCTCTTCTCTCCCCATGGCAGATGGAGCAGGTATGGGCCTCCAGCAGCCCCTTTAGAGGGGATTCGGGCTGGGCAGTGAATACAAATTGCACCCCCGTGGTGCCGAGCCCAGTGCCCGCGAAGCCGCCCTGCGCCCCCCAGCTCCCGTACGACAGCCCCAGCAGCGGGGACGCCCTGAGGGTGCAGCTGAACCCCAAACCCCGGGGCTGAGCCCGTCAAGGAGCAGCCGCCCCAGTGTTGGGCTTCCTGCACAGCCTGTGGCCACCCCGCTCCACAGCTCTCCTTCTTGCAGAAACCCTGTCCAAGAAATCTAGGAACTCCAAAGACTGGCTTTTTTTTTTCCCTTGTTTTTTTTTTCCCTTTTCTATTTTCGTTCCAATAAAACAAAAATATTGGATCGTTTGGTGGCGTAAGCACATTCTTCTGGCATTTTTGCATGTCCCTGGCTGCGCATTATTGTCCGCCGGCCGCATTACGTAGGTGCTGTTGTTCCAAGAGAAACCAAAGCAAGAATTTGAACTTTCAAGTGCTTCCTGCCATTGTCTTTTGCTTTTGTTTGTGCTACTGACTCCAAACCAGATGGATCGGGCTCCCCTCTGGCCAC